CGGGCCTCCCTCCCCTCCAGAGGGTGGTCTCGAAGGGATAGGGTCAGCCGGGGCCAGATGGAGAGGGGACAGACCCGGGGGAGGGTCGGCCCAGCGCCCCAGCCCCACCCCTCTGAGAACCCCAATCCTCAGCCCAGCGCAGGGCGGGGGCTCCCGCTTCCAATCTCCGCGGACGCCACTCCACGGTCTCCACCTGGCAGGGCGTGGAGTCCCACCGGGCCGAATCCTCCCAGGCGCCCGCCTTGCTCAGCACCCCCAACCCCCACGTGACTGAAGCCGCAGACCCGGGATTTCTTTGGATGTTTGCTCACTGGTGGAACGGATGGCGCGGGACTGTTGGGCAGAGGTGCCTGCCCTCCGGCCAGGTCCGCTACCTGGGCGGGCTCCACCCTGGTCCCTGTCTCTTTTTTGCCCCCTCCTCCCCTCTTTCTGGTGCCAGGGTTTCCACAGGAAGGAGGGGTTCCTGGGCAGGGTCGGGTTCCCAGCCCCAGCCCCAGCCCCAGCCCTGGGCCCCGCAGAGGGCCGGGAGAGGCTGACCCGTGCCGTAGAGCATGGCCAGCATGATGGAGGACACCCAGGCCGTGTCGCTGTAGCCGGCACCAAAGTCACGCATGAGCGAGCGGAAGAAGACGCTTACGGCCTTGGGGAAGCCATAGGCGAAGCCGGTGACCACGAAGCAGGCGGCCAGCACCACCCAGCCCCAGCCGCCGTCCGGGGGGCCCACACCCCTCCGGGTGCTGCCCGCTCCCATTGCCATTGCCTGTGCTGGGGAAGACAGGACAAGAGGAAGTGGCTGGCTCCTGCAGGGGAAACTGAGGCTCTGAATTGCCCACAGGACTCTCTAGTGGAGCCAGGAGGGGAACTGAGGTAGGAAGGTCAACCCAACCCTCCCTCCCCGTAAGGGGGTGTGGAGCATGCCGGAGGGTACTGGGTGCCCCACCTGAGACGGGACTGCAGGTGGGCTGCCTTGGGAGGGCGTCTCCCTGTCAGGACCTAGTGACAGCACAAGGAATGCGGTATGAGATTTGGGCAGCCAGTTCGTGTGCAGAGGTGTGCTGGGGACTGCCAGCATCCCACGGAGTATGTGAGGGGTTCTGTATGGTCAGAACTAATGCCCCATGGGATAGGTGCAGGCTGCAGAGTGGGCTGGGAGTTACTTTCCTAGTGACCTTACTGTATATTCCTCTTCTTTCATGTTTGGTTTTTTTGTTTTGTTTTGTTTTTTTGTTTTTTGAGACAGGGTCTCACTATGTAGTTGAGACTGACCTGGAACTCACTATGTAGCCCAGGCTGGTCTCGAACTCACAGTGATCCTCCTGCCTCAGCCTCCCAAGTGCTGGGATTACAGGCGTGTGCCACCACGCCCGGCTATTCCTACTTTTTCTCCATGACCCAAGTGACAAGTATCATTGGAACATGAAGGGGAACCCAGGTCACACAGAACATTGGCTTCTTCTCAGAAGCCAAGGGAGCTGAGATCTGGGTCACGCCAGCATAGCCAGAGATTCACTCTGTGTCTTGGGCAGGTCCCTCCCCTTGTTGAGCCTCATCTAGGCCAGCGGGAAGCCTTGGGGAAGGGGGTTGGAGGGGACTGGAGACCAAGCCCTCCACCCAGGACACTGGCTCCCAAGCCTCTCACCCCTGGGGTGCCACCCAGGGGTTCTCTGCCCAGACCAGGAGGGCACACCAGGCCTTGTTACCCGGTACCCTCAGCACCTGGGTGTCCTTACTGGCACTGGGAAAAGCTGTCCCCACTCCCTGCCCTCCTCCACTGGCCCCAGGTCCCCGCAGCTGCCACCCGGCACTCACCGGGCCTGTCTCGCTCTGGGCATCAGCCTCACCTCCTGAGGCCTGCGGAGAGGAATGGCCTGGCTGGCTCCCGTGATGCTGACCCTGCCAGGGCTCACCGGCTCCCCCTGCCTGCTCACTCCCTCCCCTGGGTCCAGGGCTTAGAGTGGCTCCCACCCACTCCTGCTAAGAGGCTTTTGCCCAGGAAGGGGAAAGGGTTGGAATGACCATGAGCACGGGGCCAGCAGGGCCTCTGCAGTGGGTTCCCTGTCCTGCCTGAGCCAGGGAGAGATAAGGGGCCCCCTCCAACTCCGGGGCCTCAGGCAGAGGACACAGAGCCCGGGGATCCTACTCACAGCCCCCAATATGCATCTGTCCCCTCAGCCACATTCCAGGAGGGCTCTCAGCTTCCTGGATCAGGCTAATCCGGGGTCTCAGGCCCACAGTGTGGGGTGGCGGGGCCAGAACAAAGGGTGCTGTGTCCAGGGGCCACCTGACGGGGAGGTGCTGGGGTCCAGACCTCCCCACACTGTACAGCAGCCACTGTTTCCTGGGGTTGGGGCAGAGACTGAAAAGGGAGGGGAGCCCTAAAATGTTACTCAAAATGAGGGACTAGGAGTGAGACAGACTAGGGGTGACCATGACCTTTGGAATGTTTAGACCCCGTTCCCCATCAGGGGTCCTCATTCCTGACCTCCTTCCTTGTCTCCCAAACTGGACCCTACCATTCTGGCTGTTAAGTCCTTGTCCTTTATTGTTCATCATTTACAAAAATTAGGTGGGGACCTCTGTGGGCACGGGTGTGGCGCAAGGGGCTCCCCTCCACCGGGGCAGATAAGGGGGAGAAGAGGGCATTCTCCGGTGGGAAGCAACTGCTTTTTTCCCGATTCCGCCTGCTGTATTTTCGGAGACCCCAGACCGCAAGTCAGTGCCCAGAGAGCTGCTCAGGCTGGCAGTGGCCCAGGAAGGACAGCCACCGGGTACCAGGGCCTAGGCATCTCGGAGCCACTGCTGCTACCGCCACCGCTGCCGGCTCTGAACAGCCCCGGGCGGGTGTGCGGTTCCACCTCAGAACCGGACGGAGGAAGGACCTCAGTGGATGAGGGGTGCCGAGCGGTCGTTGGTGACGGTGGGACGAAGCTTCACAGTGGCAAAGGGATTTGTGCCCCTGCAGGGGGAAGGCCAGGGTGAGAGCGGCCCGGGGTCCACCTCCTGCTGCCCATGGCCATCCCCTGCTCCAGCCCCTTCTGCCCAGAGGCAGGGTCTCACCGAGGGAAGAGCTCCGGGGGGTGCTGCTCCCAGGCCAGGAGTTTCTGTGGGAGTCGAGGAAGGATGGGTGGTTGGGTGAGTGAGGAAGGGGCCAGCACTGTCTCCGCCCCAGGAGGTGCTGGGCCAGAGGAGCCTGCCCTGCAAACTCCAGGAAAGGAAGAGGCCTGGCAGTGGGAGGCCAGAATACTCTGGGGTTTTTTGTTTTGTTTTGTTTTGTTGGTTAATGAGGATCAACTTGGGACCTTGCACTTTCAAGACAGGCGGCAGAACCACTGAACTAAATCCCTAGCCCAGAATTCTCTGGTTTTAAATGTGACACGGCTCTGGGCTGCGAGGAACAGACTTCCGCTGACGGCCCTCTGGGATGAGATGGGAAGACCATGGGAAGGTGCCTTCCCTGCTGTGTGGCCCCAGCCATGCTCTGGCCTAGGGCTCTGGTCTTTCTGCCCTGAGCAGGGTGAGGGTCTTTATACTCTAGGCAGGACCTGTGCAGAGGGTCTCCTGCCTGGAAGGCACTAGCAGGGCAGGGATCACCCAGCCCCCATCTCCCTGTCCAGGGAGGAGGGCAGGCAGGCCCTCACCTCGACGTCACCAGCTGCACCCATGCTGCTGCGACAGCTACCGGGCAAGGGCGAGGGTGCGGGGCTGGGGGTGCGGCTCGGGACCCGGCTCGGTGTTCGGGAGCGGGACTGGCTGTCCCAGTATTCCGGGGATGTGGTGGAGTTGCCCGGTCGGTCCAGGAGGTCATCAAGGCTGTGGCTGCCCCGGAGCGGGTAGGACCTGAATCCAGGCAAGGGAGGGGAGCGAAAGGGGTTGGGGTTGGCCCTGCTGCTCCAACCCCATCTGCTGGGCCCCTGCCCCAGCACCTGAGAGGCAGGATGGCCTTCAGTGGAAAGAGGAAGGGTGTCAGGGTGGCTTCCTGGGGACAGAAGGGGCCAGGCCCCCAGGACTACAGTTCACAGGTGCCTCCCTGAGTGAGCAAGGACACCCCCCACGGGAGCCCCACCTCACCAGGTACCTGGAAGACAGCTCGTGCACGGGGCTCATGGGGTCCATGGCAGTCATGGGGCTCAAGGGGGTCATGGGTGCCTCCTCCAATGGTTTCACATAGGCCTCGGGGAACCAGCCACTCCTGCAGGGCACAGACAGAGGGTCCTTCAAACAAGACCAGTAACAAGGGTCGAAACAATTCCAAGAAGAGCAGACAGATGCTGCCCACTGTCCTGTGCCTGGCTTTGTTTGCTTGAGGGCTTTGCAGATAGTGACCTGGTTACTTCCACGGAAGAAGTCTTTCCAGGCATTCAAGGTCTTACACCTGCCCTTCCCATCTCATATTCCACCGGGTGCCTTTGAGAGGAGCAACTGGGAGTCCCAGGAGGAAACGATCTGTCCCTGGACTTAAGATGTGGCTCTCTTCCCTACTCTCTCTGCCCTGAACATGACACATGTCCCTCCCAGAAGCTCCCAGCCTTGGTGGGGTACAGACCCATACACAGGCTGACAAGTCAGTGAGCTAAGGGTGGCAACGAAGGGGACGGGTGGTGGTGGGAGGGCCACAGAGGTGCACGGAGGAAGGGGCGCCCAAGCCCAGGATGGCTGACGTTAAAGCCCGCAGCCTTCCCACTCCAGCCCAGCGGCTTCCCTCCGCCCCAGGATCCCCTAAGCAACCATTCACCCAGAGGACTGGGGCGGCAGTCCGCTGTCCTGCACTTGGTCTTCACCTGGAGTCTTTGCTGGGCTGGAGACTCACTGCACCTTTAGGGTGCAAACTCTTGAGAACAGAGTCCCTGGGGAAATGTTCTCCAAAGAG